TATTATGACAGGTTTGTTTTAAATCAAAATCATCTGCCTAATTTTGGCTGGCACTTTAATTGACGTCTTCGCTTTTTTATTTAGCTGCTGCTGGCAGCTGCTTCTCTTCTTTTGGAAACAATTTGTTTAGTCCTTTTCTATTAAGTTAGAAACAGTGGAATCTGACCAGGAACATGCCTCTTGCACATTTGAATAAAGGCTACAAAAGTAGATATATAAACTATTCTCAAGCCAGAGCCAGAGCCCAGCCATTATAAATTGCTTTAACTGATTTTAATATTGCGTTTTTATATTGTTTTAACCCATCCTGGGACCTGGTAAAGAAATTAAATAAAGGATGATGTCAAGAAAATTAATAAATAATTTTGAAGATGATAGGAAAATCAATAAATGTTGATGCTGGCAAGAAATTCAGTACGTAATGATGATTATGATGATAAGAAATTCTATAAATGATTATTATAATAGTGAGAAAATCAATAAATGATGATAATAAGAAATTCAACGAAAGGTTAATGACGAAGATATGAAATCCAATAAATGATGATGACAGCAAGCGTAACAACAGCAACATGTTATATCGGCTGTGGGGAGGACTGCGGGGCCTGCTCCCTTCCAGGGCCTTCTCCAACTGGCCCAGGGGGCGTGGCCCAGGCCCTCTCTCCCAGCTATAAAGGGACTCCTGCTGCGGGGAGGCCTCGGACAATCGGCTGGGTGAGGACTGCAGGGCCTGCTCCCTTCGAGGGCCTTTTCCAACTGGCCCAGGGGACGTGGCCCAGGCCCTTATTTGGAACAAACTTTTGGGGAAGTTGGGAAGTGTTCTGCCATTGCTTCCCTGTTCCAGGTGGTTAATGTGCTTTAAAATGTCCTCAAGCAGTCGGTGGCAATTTAAATTTTTATTTCTTTATTTCCTTTTTTCCTTTGTTGGGGGTGGGTGAGTGGGATGGATATTTGGTTGGGGATTAATTTTAGTATAATTGTTTTGTTCCTTTTGTTGTTGTTGTTGTTGTTGTTTTATTGGTTCTGTATAGTTTGTGTTTTGTTTTTAAGGGGGCGGGATCAGGGCTGCCTGGGAGCGGGGCCCCAGCCAACACAATGGCTGGGACAAGTTCCACATGGGGGGAAGCACTGGGACATCCGATCTCGGTGATCATGGGCAGGAGGCGGAGTTACGCTAAGACCAGACCATGTCATTACCGAGGAGGCAGGTTTAGTCGTTGTTTGACGACTATCCCTGCCTCCGGGTCTGGCCTTGACCGGATGGATACTGGAATCAACAGGGGAAACCCACATGACCTGAAAGTGTTGCTGTGCAATGCCAGGTCAATGATGAATAAAACCACTGCCACCAACGACTTGATTGTGGATGGAGGATTTGACCTGGCACGTGTGACAGAGACCTGGTTGGAGGAAGCAGATGGGCCTGTCCTTGCCGTTGCTTGCCCACCAGGTTTCTCTTACACACAGCAACCCAGGTCATGTGGGCGGGGAGGGGGGGTTGCAGTGATTTTTAGGAAGTCACTAGCTTGCACCAGGTGTCCTACTGGGAAGATCCAGTTTTCTGAGTGCATGTTCTGGAAGCTGGGCAATAGGGGCAGTACAGGATTCCTTTTGGTCTACCGACCTTCCTGCTGCACCAAGGATTCCCTGTCCGAGCTGCTTCAGGTCGTGGCGGATTTTCTCCTGGAGACACCTAGTTTGGTTGTCCTAGGGGATTTTAACATCCATGCCGACACGACCTTACAAGGGGCTGCTCGGGACTTCGTGGAAAGCATGGCCTCCATGGGGCTGTCCCTGAATAAGTTTGGCCCAACTCATAGTCATGGACATGCCTTAGACCTGGTGTTCACCTCTAGTGACGTGGGTGATCTGACACTAAGAAAAAGTGAAACAAAAAAAGTGCCATGGTCAGATCACTTCCTGGTGCAACTAGACTTCTCTGCGACCCTTCCCCTCTGCAGGGAGGTGGGACCAATTCGGATGGTCCGCCCCCGCCACTTAATGGATCCAAATGGTTTCCAGAGAGTGGTAGGGGACGTTTTATCCCATGTTGATGGCCTTTCAGCTGATTCCCTGGTGGCCCGCTGGAATGCGGAGTTAACCAGGGCTATCGACTGTCTGGCTCCGAAGCGCCCTCTCTGATTGCATGGAGCCCGGACAGCCCCGTGGTTTTCTTCAGAGCTGAGGGCAATGAAACAATCGCTGAGACGGCTAGAGCGTTGGTGGCAGAAAACTCACTCCGAATCTGACCGGACACAGGTTAGAGCTCAACGTCGAGCCTACCAAGTGGCAATAGCGACGGCGAAGAAGACTTTCTTCACCACCTCTATTGCATCTGCAGAAAATAGTAGCAGGAGACTCTTTCAGGTGGTTCCCAATTTAACAGAACCACCTTTACCACCGGGGCCTTGTAAAGACCCCAAGATCTCCTGCAACGATTTTGCAAAGTTTTTTGCAGATAAAATCACTCATATTCGGAAGGAGCTAGATACCACCGTGGGAGCAGGGCTGGGGCGGGAGAGTGCCCCACATCCCCCGAGGATGTGGACAGGCTGCTTGGACGCGTGAAACCAGCCACCTGTCTCCTTGATCCTTGCCCATCCTGGCTAATAAAAGCAAGCCGGGAAGGGCTGGGCGATGGGCTCTGCGGGGTGGTGAATGCTTCCCTCTGTGAGGGAACATTCCCAGATCCGCTGAAAGAGGCGGTCATTAAACCGCTTCTTAAAAAACCATCTTTAGACCCGGCCAGTATGGCCAACTATCGCCCAGTCTCAAATCTTCCATTCTTGGGCAAGGTGATTGAGTGCGTGGTTGCTGAACAACTCCAGGCACGCCTGGAGGATGCGGACCATTTGGATCCCTTCCAGTCGGGATTCAGGCCTCATCATGGGACTGAAACTGCCTTGGTCGTACTGCTTGATGATCTCCGGCGAGCTAGGGACAAAGGTGAGAGTTGTTTCCTAGTTCTGCTGGATCTGTCAGCGGCCTTTGATACAATCGACCATAACATCCTTCTGGACCGTCTAGAGGGGCTGGGAGCTGGGGGCACTGTTATACAGTTGTTTCACTCCTTCCTCCTGGGCCGTGTTCAGAAAGTGGTGGTGGGGGATGAGTGTTCAGACCCCTGGGCCCTCACTTGTGGGGTGCCTCAGGGTTCCGTCCTCTCCCCATGCTTTTCAACATCTATATGAAGCCGCTGGGAGAGATCATCAGGGGTTTGGACTGGGTGTCCATCAATATGCAGATGATACCCAGCTCTACCTCTCTTTCAAATCAGAACCAGTGAAGGCGGTGAAGGTCCTGTGTGAGTGCCTGGAGGCGGTTGGAGGATGGATGGCGGCTAATGGATTGAAGTTGAATCCTGACAAGACAGAAGTACTGTTTTTGGGGGACAGGGAGCAGGCTGGTGTGGAGGACTCCCTGGTCCTGAATAGGGTAACGGTGCCCCTGAAGGAGCAGGTGCACAGCCTGGGAGTCATTTTGGACTCACAGCTGTCCATGGAGGTGCAGGTCAATTCTGTATCCAAGGCAGCTGTCTACCAACTCCACCTGGTACGCAGGCTGAGACCCTACCTGCCCGCGGACTGTCTCGCCAGAGTGGTGCATGCTCTAGTTATCTCCCGCTTAGACTACTGCAATGCACTCTACGTGGGGCTACCTTTGAAGGTGACTCGGAAACTACAACTAATCCAGAATGCGGCAGCTAGACTGGTGACTGGGGGCGGCCGCCGAGACCACATAACACCGGTCTTGAAAGACCTACATTGGCTCCCTGTATGTTTCCGAGCACAATTCAAAGTGCTGGTGTTGACCTTTAAAGCCCTAAACGGCCTCGGCCCAGTATACCTGAAGGAGCGTCTCCACCCCCATCGTTCTGCCCGGACGCTGAGGTCCAGCGCTGAAGGCCTTCTGGTGGTTCCCTCATTGCGAGAAGCAAAGCTACAGGGAACCAGGCAGAGGGCCTTCTCGGTAGTGGCGCCTGCCCTGTGGAACGCCCTCCCATCAGATGTCAAAGCGATAAATAACTACCTGACATTCAGAAGACATCAGGGAAGTTTTTAATCTGTGATATTTTAGTGTATTTTTGGTTTCTATGGAAGCCGCCCAGAGTGGCTGGGGAAACCCAGCCAGATGGGCGGGGTACAAATAATTTATTATTATTATTATTATTATTATTATTATGAAGCCTGAAATTCACAAATGAATGCTAACAATTCTGGATAAATTTTGTGAGCACCCCAAATAGGCAAATACTTCTATTCCCCTACCTTTTTTTATTGAGAAAATACATCTGTGCAGCTAATCATCCTTTCTGGATGGCTGCCGACATTCTCAGGTATATCTCTGCATGTAGGGGGCATTCAGGAAATTTCTTGGGCTTGTGAAAACGGGCCTATAAATTCACTCATCTGCTCCTTTACTTATATTTCACTTTCTCCAAACGATGGAGGCCAAAGCTGCTTACAATTTATCAAATGAGCAAGGATACATAACGATTCAAAACATAAACAAAAATATTGGAAAATATCAATGACAGGGTCAGTGAATCTATACGCAAACAATATCAATAAATTTCAGCGTAACGAAAGCAATGGCACTAAAGTCGCAATGAAACAATTGTTTAGTTGCTTGAATGTCAGGATGCGTTGTTGCTGTATAGCTGGCCAGACCTTGCGCTGTGCCAAATATTTCATTTCTATTTCCCCCCCCTCTTTAATTAATCAGAAAACAGACTGCATTCAGAAAATAACAGAGGAGAGGAATTTGTTTTGGTGAAATTCTTAGGGGGGGGCAGGGTTTCTGCTGCAGTTGTTGTGACTCTCACTTTTGACAGAAGGAGAAGGAGCAGCTGGTCCAGGAACTGACGACCGCCTCACCCAGTGACCCCAACTCTTGATGCCAAATCCAGCATATGGCAGCTCAGAAATGACTTCCTTTTGCAGCAGTAGCTATGTGCAAACCCACAGCTGGTGGGCACAAGAGATAAGGCCTTCTCTACCTGTCAGGGAACTGACATCAGAGCGGGAGGCGAAGGGGAGGCTCCTAGATGATGCTGGAGAAGGACCCAGCAGCAGGGGGAGAAGCAGCTCAGTGGAGGGGGAAGCATTTAAGCGCAACACCAGGAACAAAAGTGGGCAGATGGGGAAATCGGAGAGAGGGCTCACGGACTCTTCACTGGAACTCAGTGAGGAGGGGACAGGTCCTCCGCTACCTACGCCCTCCCTGCGCAGAAGGCTCCCGCGCAGTGAGAGGAGGAGGAGACTGGGTGTCAAACAACTCTTATGTTGGAAGAGATTCAAGAAACGCCCACTGACGGATTCTGCCAGTGACTGAGACAGTCATGATTAGAAAGGGCTGTGCAGTCAGAAAGGTTTAACAAGGCAAATTAGCCTAGAGAGGCACCAGTTTACGCACGAGTAACTCATACTCATCACAGCAATCCGTCAGTCCCTGAAAGTTGCTCGTGCGCAGCAGCAGGCAGGCAGCATCATGAGCAAGCCCGGAGAAGCCAGCACCCAGGGGGGAGCAGCTGGAGGGCAAACGCTGGTGGAGAGGAACCGAGAGTTGGAGCAGCATGTGGCCATTCTGACGGCGCGGCTGGACGAAAGGCGGTCTCAAGATGCACAGGTCAGACCCACCCCCATAGCAAGGAAGGTACCGGGACTGGTGCACAAATTTGGGGGGAAGCCGCAAGAATACAGTGCGTTTCGAACGGAAATAGAGTACGCATTGGAATTGCAGCATGACGATTTTGAAGACGACGCGGCGCGGGTGGCATATATTGTGGGTCACCTGCAGGACGGGGCCAGGGAATGGGTCAGGCCCCTTATGGCGACGCAGAATGCCGCCATGCAGGACCTGAGGAAATTCTTCCAAGCAATGGACGCAATGTTTTCCACTGATGTTCAAAAAAGTGTGACAAAGCGGGAATTGATGAACTGTAAACAGGGGAGCCAGTCAGTTAGGGACTACTGGTCGCGCTTTGCCATGATAGTTCACCGCCTCGGGTGGGAACTGGGCTCCGAACCCATACAGATGTTATTCGAGGAGGGGTTGTCCCCAACGGTTAAGGATGAACTTTCCCGCGCACCCCGCCCACAGGGGATGGATCAGCTGACCAAGGCTGTGCTTGCGATTGGCGTGCGCCAGGAAGCGCGGGCCCAGGAGAGGCGGGAAGGGAGAGAGCAACGTTGCCATGACTACCGCATTCCTGAAATACCAAGGCAGCCTCCCCGCCAGCAGAGCCAATGGAAATAGATGGGGCACGCGCGCGGGAAGTTTCAAGCACCAGCGAAGGGCGCAAAAAGGAGGGAAAGGATTGGAAAACCTCCAAGAAGTGTTACCTTTGCCAGCGGCCAGGCCATTTTGCCAGAGCCTGCCCTCAAAGAAAGGCCTGGCAAGGAATGGTGGGAGCCGCAGGGGGTGAGGAGGAGGTGGTAAAGGAACAGGAACAGGGAAACGGGAACGCTTGGCTGCCAATCAAGGGGCACAACAGCCAGGCCAGCCACCAGTAAAAGTGCCCCAACCAGACCCCCAAGGCGGCAATAGCCATCGAAGTGGTGCTAGAACTCCCGAACGGGCACCCAGTCAAGGTGAAAGGGATGCTGGATTCAGGCAGCTCATGTAATTTCTTCAGCAAAGACTTTGCATTAGAGCACCAGCTCCACTTACTGCCTTTGGATTTTCCCTTGCAAGTGACCACCATTGATGGCAGGGAGCTTCTAGGAGGGGAAGTGACACACCAGACCCCACCAATGAGAATGAGGGTGTCCAGGCACTCGGAGACCATCGCCTTCACGTCGCCTCACTAGCAGGGCCCCCAATAATATTAGGGATGAGCTGGCTAGCACAACATGATCCAGTGGTGGCGTGGCATCAGAGGACAGTCACCTTTGGGTCAGCTTACTGCCTGGAACACTGTCTAGGGGGGGAAGCCCCAAGAATGACCGTGGCCAGGGTGGCTGGGATGGCGGTGGAGCGGAAAGGGGAGGTGCCGCCACAATACGCAGATCTGCGGGAGGTCTTCAGCGAGAAGGAGGCAGATAGACTGCCACCCCATAGGCCCTTTGACTGCCAGATCAACTTGCTTCCGGGGGCTCAGCTGCCAGTGGGTAAGCTGTACGCCATGTCTGACAGGGAGATGAAGGAGTTGCGAGAATTTATTGACAAGAACCTGAAAAGAGGCTTCATAAGAGAATCAAAGGCAGTAGGGGGCAGTCCGGTGTTCTTTGTGGACAAAAAGGACACAAATAAACCCAGGCTCGTAGTGGACTATAGAGCTGTCAATTTGGTGTCAGAACCCGTGACCTTCCCAATGCCCAGGATTGACGACATTTTAACGCGAGTGAGGAAAGGCAAAATTTTTACCAAGCTGGACCTCAGGGGCGCATACAATTTGATCAGGATGAGGGAGGGGGACGAATGGAAGACCACAATGTTCACACCCCTAGGTGCCTTTGAGTACTTAGTTATGCCTTTTGGATTACAGTCGGGCTCCGCCTGTTTTCAAGCTTTCATGCACCACGTGTTGGGGTCTCTGCTGTACAAGAACTGCGTAGCCTTCTTGGACGACGTCTTAATTTATTCGGACAATGAGGAGCAACATGTTAGAGACGTCAGGGAAGTGTTACAACGACTGCAGAAGCACCAGTTGTGGGTCAAGCTGGAAAAATGTCAGTTTCACGCCAGAGAAGTCGAGTTTCTGGGGTACAAGTTGTCTGACAAAGGCTTAGCGATGGACCCAAGCAAGGTGCAGGCAGTGCTGGAGTGGAAGGCTCCCAAAACACGGAAGGACGTACAGAGGTTCCTAGGGTTCAGCAACTTCTACAGGAAGTTCATCAAGAACTTCGCCCACTTGACAGCGCCCATCACGGATTGTCTCAGTAGCAAAAAGAAGTTTGTGTGGACAGAAGAGGCCCAGCAATCCTTCGAAAAGCTGAAGAAGGCGTTCGCATCGGAAGAGCAACTCCTGCACGTAGATCTGGAGAAACCCCTGAGGCTAGAGACCGACGCGTCCGACAGAGCCGTAGGGGCGGTCCTTTGCAGTCAGGGGGGGGCAAGCAGGAATGGAAACCGTGTGCCTTTTTCTCGAGAAAACTGAGCAAGTCGGAGCAAAACTATACAGTGTATGACCGCGAACTGCTGGCAATCTACGCGGCCTTCGTCGTTGGCGTCATCTACTGATAGGGCGCAACAACAGATCCAGGTTTGCACAGATCACAAGAACTTGGAGTACTGGAGAACCGCACGAGTACTCAACCAGAGACAGATTCGATGGGCACAGGAGTTCTCCAAGTTTTTCTTTGAAATCCGATACGTGCCCGGAGAGGAAAACGTAAGAGCAGACGCTCTCTCGCGTAAACCGGAGTACCTGGAAGGAGAGGGGCCGCCGGAGAAACGACACGTGATCCCCGAGGACCGATGGGTGTGTGGGGGAACTTTGGTGGGGAAACGAGAACTAGCCGGGCTGACCAGAAACGACGTGTTCGCGCAAACTAAAATCCGGGAACTACGAGACGGAAGAGGGACCCAAGAAGGGTTTGAGGAGAAGGAAGGGGTACTGTACTATAGGGGAGCGCTGTACGTACCGGGGGAGACCCTGAGGGGAAAGGTACTCAAACAACTCCACGACAACCCCACAGCAGGGCACTTTGGACAGCACAAAACCATGATGCTTGTGACCAGGCAGTTCTGGTGGCCCAGGGTGAGGGAGGATGTACGGGAATATGTACGGGGGTGCGACCGCTGCCAAAGGGCAAAGGGGGAGCGGGCTGCCCCCACAGGATTACTGGAACCCTTACCCACGCCGGGAAACCCTGGGAGGTGGTATCCATTGATTTTATGACAGATTTGCCCAAGTCCCGGGAAAGACAGCAGTCATGGTAGTGGTCGACCTACTGACAAAAATGTGCCATTTTATAGCTTGCTCACATGCTGTAACGGCAGAGGAAACAGCCCGGTTGTTTGTGGAGCACATATTCCGGCTGCATGGCGCCCCTTGAGGGTTATCTCCGACCGCGGAAAACAATTTACTTCCCGGTTCTGGAGGAAGCTCATGAGCTTGCTGCAGGTGGAGGTGGGTTTCTCGACGGCGAGACACCCAGAGACCAACGGGCAAGCAGAAAGAGCGAACAGTATACTCCAGCAATACCTACGCTGCTATGTCAGCGAGAGGCAGAACGATTGGGTCGACCAACTCGCGCTGGCTGACTTCGCGTCCCACAACGCTGAACACGTGTCCACGGGAATGAGCCCATTCATGGCCAACCATGGGTGTCATCCCAGGGCCTTCCCGGGAGTGGGGAGGAAAGCTGGAGCGTACCCGCTGCAGAGCAGTTTGTGGAAGAAATGGAGGCCCTACACCAGCAACTTAAGATGAACTTGGAGCGGGCCAAGGAAACTTACAAGAGGCAGGCAGACAAGCACCGCAGGGAAGGGGAGACCATACGGGTGGGGGACCGGGTGTGGTTGTCCACCCAAGGGCTACCTTTCAAAGGGGGGTGCAAGAAGTTGCAGCCCAGACGGCTGGGACCTTTTGAGGTAACACAGCAAGTTAATCCCGTGGCATTTAAGCTCAAGTTGCCTGATAGCATGAAAATACACCCGGTTTTCCACAGGTCCCTGCTCTCACCGCATAGGGAAGGGCGGGAATTCCAGGGGCAAGAGGGAGAAGTCACCACACACCCGCAGGTAGAAGAAAGGGAACACCACCACAGGGCCACGGAAATACTGGACTCAAGGTGGCAAGGGCGCCGGGTGGAGTATTTGGTAGCGTGGGAAGGGGAACCCAGGTCCGAAAACACGTGGGTCCCCACGGAAGCCTTCGAGGACAGGTATCTGGTGGAGGTATTCCACCGCCGGTTCCCGGACAAACCCAAACCCCTGGAGAGATTCTGGGAGGAGCAATTTGGAACCACAGATGAGGAAGAGGTTTTTGAGGGATTTTCTGACTCCGAGGAGGAGGGAGGAGAGGTTTCGGAGGAAGAAGAATCAGACTGGGAAGACCACCCCGTTGGCAGGTGGAAGAGCGGTTGGGAAGCGGGTTTCGAATCCACAGAAGATGGTGACAGTTCCTTCCGGGGGTTCCCCGCCTCCTCGGCCGACGAAGGGGACGACGTTGGTCCCACAGGTCGGTCCAGGGGTGGAGGGGATTCTGGGGGGGAGGTGGATGTCAGGGAACTGACATCGGAGCGGGAGGCGAAGGGGAGGCTCCTAGATGATGCTGGAGAAGGACCCAGCAGCAGGGGGAGAAGCAGCTCAGTGGAGGGGGAAGCATTTAAGCGCAACACCAGGAACAAAAGTGGGCAGATGGGGAAATCGGAGAGAGGGCTCCCGGACTCTTCACTGGAACTCAGTGAGGAGGGGACAGGTCCTCCGCTACCTACGCCCTCCCTGCGCAGAAGGCTCCCGCGCAGTGAGAGGAGGAGGAGACTGGGTGTCAAACAACTCTTATGTTGGAAGAGATTCAAGAAACGCCCACTGACGGATTCTGCCAGTGACTGAGACAGTCATGATTAGAAAGGGCTGTGCAGTCAGAAAGGTTTAACAAGGCAAATTAGCCTAGAGAGGCACCAGTTTACGCACGAGTAACTCATACTCATCACACTACCCTATGGACATCCCTTCTATACATACATATACAGCTGGTTATACATATATACATATATACATATATATACATGTATATACATATATATACAGCTGGTTCCTTCACTTTTGATTATTATTTGATTATTACTTTTTTAAAAAAACCACACATACCTGTTTTCTTCGGCTTTTTAACTGAAATGTCTTTTTTTCAATTTTTTAATTGATTTCCCAAATTTATGACAAACATATAAAAGAAAACATCAAAAACAAACAATCAAACATAAATCCTAACTGTAATAATTCCATTTTTGTTAACATTGTTGGGTGACTTCCTCGAATCCCCCTGGCTGAATTTCCATATATATATCATTGTAGCAGTTTTCCAAAACTAATTTCACCTAAAATTTACTTAGTCAATAACCTCTTTCTTTTCATTTTAACATTAAACATATTGTTCTATAACATCACATATTTAAATCCTAGGCCAATCTGATACTTGCAAGTAATTCTATTTAAGTTATCTTGGCATATTTAGCGGTAAATAGTCTTTAAATTTCTTCCATTCCTCCTGGTATTCCTCCTTCTTCTGGTCACGGACTCTTCCGGTCAGGTCGGCTAGCTCCGAAAAGTCCATCATCTTCATCTGCCATTCCTTTAACTGAAATGTCTTGTTGCATGGGTGACTGCTGGAATTTTTTCTTGGGCTACTGTGATTTGAATGGTATATTTCAATGTTCGTTTTTAATGAAATTGTATTTTGTTATTAATGTAAGCCGCCTTGGGAAGACTGTAGTCTTGAAAGGGGACTTAGAAATAAATTAATGTGCTGGTTTTGACCTATAATGTGCTATATGACTCAGGATCCCAATATCTTCCAGAACCCCTCTCCCAACATACCCTCCAACATTTCTCTGATGAAAATAGGGATGTCCTATACAACAACAACAACAACAACAACAACAACTGTTATTGTTTTATTATTTATACCCCGCCCATCTGACTGGGTTGCCCCAGCCACTCTAGGTGATTTTCAACATACTGTATATAAAAACATAATAAAACATTTTTTTAAAAAACTTCCCTATACAGGACTACCTTCAGATGTCTTCTAAAGGTTGTATATTTATTTCCTTGGCCCAATACAGCTTCTTGGGACCTCT